AAGGCTTTCAATTTCTCTCAAATTGTTTTTGCAAGCTCATTCATAAACAAGTGAAATTTCAAAATTGCTTCATGTGAAAAATCTCTGGAAGCTTTAACATTTATTATACCTAAATAAGCTTGTTAAACATGCTCTTTTCTTAAGAAGACATTTAATCATGGTGGTAGTTATAGTTTGATTGTTTGTTACACATTTTTAAATATCTTGGATCCTTTCTCATCTTTTATTAAAGAATATTATTATTTTGAGGCTTTCTGGTCCTGTAAAATTTTACAGTCTTGAACACCCTCTACAGGGTTGCTATGAGTCAGAACTGACTTGATGGCACACTGCAACAACAAAAAGTATTTATTTTTAGTTTAATTAAAGTTATGAATGTACATAATTTTTTAAAGTAGAATAGTTCTATAAGTCATCTTGTTCCATTTCTCATGCTCCAGAGCAACAGCTGTTAACTCTTTCAGCTTGTTGGATTGTTTCTTTGTGTGTATTTACATCTATATACCTAAATAAAAAACATGGTTATACTTCACATAGTGATTTATTTTCAGTTTCAGGCATTATAGATTGATTTCTCATTACAAAGATAAATATTCCATTCTTTATCTGTCATTGTTTCCAAATACTCTTCTCATGGTCCTTGTTGTTGTCTTCTCTTATTTCCTTGCCAAGCGTGCATCCCGTGGTACTTACATGTACCCTGAACACCTTTCTCTCTTGTTTTAATTTACTCATTTGGCAAATCTACAACCCTAGGTAGATTCACTTCACCTGCTTTGTATTGATCTGCCTGACTGGAACACAAAATCACACCCCTATGCTGACTGTGCTCTCTTTAAATTCATCATCACAAATCTCAAGTAGATCCTTGATGGCTTCCCATCATTTCCCCTCATCCTAGCTTAAATATCAATTTTACACTATCACCTTGCTTTTCAAACTACAATCATCTCCTCCTCCATCTTCTTTGTCAACTGATGACTTGCCTTCTACCTCGCTGAGAAAATTGAAGCCATCAAAAGAGAATGCTGTAAATTGTGAACCTACTAGTTAGTATCTGAACCATGTCTACCTATTACTGTCCTAATCCTAAGCCCAATGATAGGAACCACCTGTGTATGATATTCACCTCCCTCTAACAGTTTTGGCCCCAGTTCTCCCTGTTTTCTTCTACCTTCTACTGAAATATTTCCATCTGCACACAAATTCAATGTTGCTTTTAGGATGTAAAAAAGTAACACAAAGCTCTTCTGCACTGCCTACTGAGGAGGCAGCCATCTCTACTGGCATGGTTGCCCTCAGACCCCTGCTGAAGCCCAAGATCGTCAAAAAAAAAGGACCAACAAGTTCATCCAGCATCATTATGTCAAATTAAGTGTAACCGGCTCAAGCCCAGAGGCACTGACAAAGGATACAGAGAAGATTTAAGGGCCAGATCTTAATGCCCAACATTGGTTATAGGAGCAACAAGAAGACAAAACTCATGCTGCCTACTGGCTTCCTCAAGTTGCTGGTCCACAATGTCAAAGAGCTGGAAGTGCTGCTGATATGCAACAAATCTTACTGTGCAGAGATTGCTCACAGCATTTCCTCCAAGAATCACAAAGCCAGCGTAGAGAGAGCAGCTCAGCTGGTCATCAGTCACCAGTCCAAATGCCAGGCTGCCAAGCGAAGAAAATGAATAGACAGTCTGTTTTCAAGTTTTATTTGTGCTAAATAAAACCATAAAAGCATACACAAAAAATAAGTAACACAAAGCACAAACAAAATCACCTGTGTTCACCTTGTCTCCTCTGGCTACCACCCAACTTTTTTATTCCCACTGATAGCAAACTATTCAAAAGAAATTATAGCCACTGTCTTCATGATTCATAGATATTCCAGCTAGGTGAAGGAATCTAGGTTAGAGGTCATTTCCCTTAGAATTATCATTGCATTGCTTCATTTTTCAACTTATCATTTGATACCGCCACTCAAATTTTATGTCATTTGGTACTCAAGCCTTTGCTTATGTTTTCTTTTTTACTTTCTCAGAAGCTTTAAATGTAACTTATTTTCCTTGCAGTGGTTGTTGTTAAGTGACATTGAATTCATTCCAACTCATAGCAACCCTGTATAGGGTTTCTGAGGAGCAACTGGTGGGGTTCAACTGCTAACCTTGTGGTTCAAACTGACCTTGTAGTCTAGTGCTTATCCCACAGTGCCACTGCCCTCCTTTGCTATGGGTCCCCTTTTACCCACTGGTTTGGGCCCTCGTTTTTAAACTGGCAAGTTATATCCTGGAGTTTGAAATATTTCTTACTTTTTCCCCTCTATTTTCAGGCATTATTCTGTACTTTCTCGCATCCCATTATTTGAATACGGTACCTCTTGAGTGGATCCTCCTTCATCTCTTTTCTACCTCTTAGCCTTCTTATCAGGGAGATTTCTTCAACTTTATCTTGCAACTCTTCTATTGAGGCTTTGTTCTTTTTAAAAGTTTTCAATTTCCAGCAACTACTTTTTTGTTATTGTTCTTCGGTTTTAAAATAATAACTTTGTTCTGTTTCTTAGTGTTTTGTTCTATTGTGCATAGGGTTGATGTGAGGTGGAACTGACATGCTTGCATCTAAATACAGCAACAGTGTCTTAGCTACAACTGTTACTTTAGCTTTGTGAATATGTAGTCTTTTCCTGGACGTTTCAGTCTCCCTGCAGTTACTTTCCTCCAGCTTGCTTCTTTTTGTGGTTTTTACCACAATCATTAATGCTAGACACTTTCTCCATTGTCTGATGATCCAGTGTTGGAAGCACTATTATGTTGTATGGGACAGGTTCATTTTGACTCAGATTCACACATGCTAAAATGTTTCATTTTAAAACTTCAATTTACATTTCAATGTAAAGAAAACAAAAATCCTGATCATTGGACCGATAAATAACATCAAGATAAATGGAGAAAAGGTTCAAGTTGTCAAAGACTTCATATTGTTGGTAACAACCATCAACACTCATGAACACAGCAATCAAGAAATCAAATGACGTATTGCACTAGACAAATCTGCTGCACAAGACCTCTTTAAAGTGCTGAAGATCAATAAGGATTAAGGCCAGTTCAAACTGTGGTATTTCAGTAACCTCATATGCATCTGAAACGCGGACACTGAAGAAAGAAGACCATAAAAGAATTGATGCATTTGACTTATGGGGTTGGAAAATATTGAACATACTATGGACCACCAAAAGAATCAACAAATTTCTGGATTGGAAGAAGTACAGCCAGAATGCTGCTTAGAAGTCGATATGAACAGACTTCATCTCTCATACTTTGGACATATTGTCAGGAGGGACTAGTCCCTGAAGGACATTATGATTGGTAAGGTGGAGGGTCAGTGAGAGAGAAGACCCCCAGCAAGATAGATTGGCATAGTGGCAGCTACAATGGGTTCAGGTGTAGCAATGATCTTGGCACAGAACTGGACAGTGTTTTGTTCTGTTATGCATAAGGTTGCTATGAGTCAGTACTGACTCAACGGCACCTAACAACAAAAAAAATGTTTCATAGAGGTATACTTTAAGTCAGTGGTTTGTGTTTTTTATTATTTTAATCTTGGGGATGTTAATTTCTCATTAAAAAAAAAAAAAAATCTCCAAACTGCCTGTCTTGATGGTATAGTCTTGGATGTCAGTCTTTGGGAACTGGAAGGAAGAATAACGTCTGAGAGAGAGAGCAGTATTTATACAAACTTTTGCTCAAATTTGTTGCTTTCAGTATGTTGCACGTATCATCAACTACCTGGCATTTCCCAATCTACAGACTTTCTGTTTGTTTAATTCTCTCCAGAGAGTCAACCTTTGTAGTCGTTCACTAACATGGTAGAGGAGAATTTGCTGTGCTAGGGAGCAGTGTAAGGCAGGAGTTCTGTGTATCTAATTGTCTTTAACAGCGACTTTCAACCTGTTTTTTATTTCCAATCCAACCCTTAAGCTTACTTCTAGAGGTATTTGTGTCAGTTCTTGAGTCTTGGGACTTTCACTGTGCAATCTAGATTGCCTTCATAGGCTCTCCTTACTGCCTTTTCAAAACTCAGAGTTTTTGAATCTTCTAAGTTGTTTATCATTTACCCTGCTACTATCCTGCTTTTAAAATGTTGCTATTCTAATCTCCACTGTTTTAGTTGTCCTTGTAGACTCATTGATTTTTTAAAGATACCATTAAATGTCACTTTAGTAGATTTGGGGATGGAGTGATGATAAATGCATGTGTTCAATCAGCATCTTTAACTAGATAGTGAGAATAGTATTTTCATTGTACACGTGTTCTCTCCTTACCCCACCCCTGCCCCCAGGAGAGCCGGGTTAGTAAAGCAGTTGAAGTGATGATTCAGCATGTAGAAAACCTGAAAAGAATGTACGCCAAAGAGCATGCTGAATTAGAAGAACTGAAACAGGTTCTTTTGCAGAATGAAAGATCTTTTAACCCTCTTGGAGATGAAGGTAATAAATAAAAGTTTAAGATACCAGTTATTAGATTTTTCTAACACTTTCCTCTTTTACAAGTGGCTTCAAAAAAG